ATGTACTACCTTGAATATTTTACAAACTCATTCTTAACGCCTTCAAATCCTGTTTTTGTCCCACTATTTATGTCATGAATGTTAAAGATCATTAAAAATCAATCTATTCTGGGTTTCATCTTCAATGCTCCTCTCCCCTAGCCCCCTACTCAGAATTTGACCACACATAGCAACCTCTTGCCTGTCTTCTCTCCTTTTGCTTTAGACAATAAGAGACATGTTGGTCTTGTTTTCCTTTATTCCTTCCCCTCCCACTATTCTTTCTCCTTTGATGCCCTTTTCCTCTTTCCTCCATGCCCAGCCTTGGACATTCTCCAAGGTTTTTTTACACTAGATAAATGAGATACTTTATATGAAATAACCAAATCTAGGGTCTAAAGTATAAAAAGTGATCCGAAAAAGAAAGTTCCTTTTGTTCTTTTATGCTCCTCTTTTCTCAGTGATATCATCTGTGCTTGTGGCTTTAATCATCAGTTCCACATAGATGAGGCTTAAATCTCTATCTTCCGTTGACTTCTCTCCTCAGATTCACTCCTCTGTTCCTACCTGGCTCAGGTGTTCAACCTCAATTCTTTCTTGCTTTGCTCTTATCTAGGTACCACTCCCCAAAACTTCTGTGAAAATCTTCCATTTTTATGGCACTGGCTATATTTTGATCATGAATTATCAGAGGTGAATTTCACTCTTTGTTCTCACCTGTAAGTGACTAGGTCCTGGAGGATATATTTTTAGTGTCTATCACATTCCTGTTCTCTTTTAAATTCTCAACTTACTAGTTCAAAACTGTCAGCATTAGACCTGGACAATTGATCAGAGATGGAACAACGTCTCTTTCCAAATCTGTGCTTCCAAAATTTTGTTGCCATTAATACTAAGTGAGAGTGAAAGTCACTCAGTCATGTCCACATCTTTGCGACCCCATGGCCTGTAGCCTGCCAGGCTCCTCTGTCCATGGAATTCTCCAGGCAAGAATACTGGAGTGGGTTGCCATTCCCTTCTCCAAGGTATCTTCCCAACCCAGAGACTGAACCCAGGTCTCCCACATTAGAGGCAGATTCTTTACCATCTGAGCAGCTAAATCAATCTATAAATAGGTCTGACAAATTTCTTTGATTATGCCAATTCTTAAAAAAAAAAAAATTTAAAGTTTTCCCAAATATCGAATACAAACTCGATATGTTTTGTGGCATTTATCAATTTGTTTATAGACTTATCTTTGATCATTTTAATTCTTATACTGCATTATAATAAAAGTGTGTTACTAAGAGTTCCCTGGTTCTGTCTTGTTCGTTCTTACCCTGTCACTTCGCTCCATGAGAGACATTTTCCCCCAGTTTCCATCACTGATTGACATTGATCCTATAATTCTAGGCTTAGAGTATGTACCGTTTTCTCCAGTGAGTGACCTTATTTGATTCTCAGGCTTAGGCAGCAGGAGCTTTTGTTGTTCACAGCTTCTACTGAGATGCCCTCCACTTTGTAAGGAGTTACTACCAACCTGATGAAGGGAGGGCCACTTCTACCCTTGGCTCATACATTTACCCATCACCTTGGCTCTAGAATAAAGCCCTTTGAGAGAAGGGACTTTGTCTTATATTCATGTTTCATTTCTTCACAATTCCCAAGAATATACTAGAAGCATCTAAAAGAAAGGGAAAGATTTGTATTTGGTTGTCGGTTTTGAAGAGAGCAGATGGGTACCTCTCACAGATAGAAATATGAACTGACATCTATCTGCGGTCAGAATGAGCCCTGCCCAGAGGTCTCATTTGAGTTATTGGAAATGCAATTTCAGCAACAGGAGCAAGAACCACTGTAACCACCACCAGATTTGAGCAAAATTTGATAGGTTTTGTACCCATAATAGCTCAGCACTCGTGATAAAGAAAAATCTAAACAGAGGCCAAGAAGAGAAATGGTCAGAGGAGAGAAAGAATCAGTGTTTCTGAACTGCAGCTGGTGCTGAGAGGGGCTTAAACATGCGCCCTTCAAGGATGGATTCACTAATATTTTTCCGCAGCTGTAGAGATGAATAAGAGATGAATTACAAGGGGAAATAGATTTTCCTTTTCCGGCACACTTAACATAAATGCTGCTACTATATTTTGATAGTAACTTTGTGAAGTATCTCCACCCACTCTTATCTTGGGGGTAAGAAACTTTTATGACATGATTGATATGGACTGCAGTATTTATTTTCTTAGCATTAATTTTTTTCTATTCAATTCCTTTTTTTAATTCTCCTTGGATATTTAGTTCCTGATCAGTTCTACAGAAATACCAGCTTGAGGAATAAATAGTTTACCAAAAATGAGCCTTAGCAAAAACAATCCTGGAATCAAATCCCAGCTTCTTCATTAGGGTAATAATAAAGATAAACAAACCTAAAAACAAATTTAACAAAAATTACACCAGCTTCTATTTGTTGTGCACTTACTTTGCATCAGCCACTCTGCTGACGACTGTGTATTTTTTTTTTCTTACTTAGCATTTATTTCAGGCTTGTGAGGTAGGTATTTTATTACTATTTGCACCATACAGAAGAAACTTTAGCTTCAAAAAAAGTTTTGGTCCCAAACTCTGTGACTGCAAAGCCCATATTCTTCATCACTGTGGTTTGTCCTTCTGCCTCTACATTTGTCTTTTAACTAACTTTTTTGAATCTTAGTCACATTGGAAAGCAGGGTCTAATCATAACTCCAGGCTTCCCAGGTGGCTCAGTGGTAAAGAATCAGCCTGCCAAGCAGGAAATGTGGGTTTGATCCCTGGATCAGGAAGATCCCCTAGAGGAGGCAATGGCAACCCACTCCAGTATTGTTGCCTGGGAAATCTCATGGACACAGGAGCCTGGCAGGCTACAGTCCAAGACGTTGCAAAGAGCTGGGCACGACCTAGCAACTAAACAACAAATCATAACTCCTGTTGTGATTCTGAATTTTGTGCATGGAATTTAAATTTAGTATATTTTACTCCATATTAGAGAATTCTTCAGCTTTTTACTTCATTCTGTACTGTTTAGTCCTGGATTATGTTTGATACTCATAAGCAATACTATATACATATTCTATTAGTATGTTATTCATAAAGTTTACAAATTTAGGGCAAAAAATTACTTTTGGAAGGGGAAGTTTTTCATTTGCAATATTTAGTCAGTATCAGAATTTGAATTCTACGTAAGACCATTGTGAAAGTTAGTTTTATATGTCAACTTGCCTGGCCCTCAGTGCCCAAATATTTGGTCAAATATTACTCTGGGTGTTTCTGTAAGGGTGTTTGGATTATATTTACATTAAAAAATGTGGACTTTGAGTAAAGCGATTGCCCTTCATTATGTAGCTAAGGCTTATTCAATTAGCTAAAAGCTTGACTAGAATAAAAAGGTAAGAAGGAACTCTCCAACAAATTAGCTTTCTGATTTTATAGCAAACTGCTTTTGTACTTGAACTACAACTCTGTCCTGTGTTTCCAGCCTGCTTTCCTCCCCCAGTAGATTTTGGACTCAACAAACCCCCGGAGTCACATGAGACAGTTCCTTAAAATAAATCTCCCCCTGTTCTCTGTGTATATGGAATATGTTGTTGGTTCTGTTCTATATCTCTGGAGAATTCTGACTAGTACAGTCTGTTAGCTCAGCTTAAAGAAAAGTTTCATAACTATTTTGAAATTTTAAAATAAAAAATCTCATTGAATTAGAAATCGCTCTGCCTCACCACCGGAAATATTTAGATGATACTGGTCAATGAAAGAAAAGAAAAGAGCTGTTAGATTTAAGAATTGCATGTAATAAAGACCACTTAAGTAACTCAAGTTATCAAAATTTTGGTTAAAGAAGAGAAAGGAGTTTCCACAATATAAAAAGAGTGATAAAGGTATCTGTAATTACTACTTTTTGTGGGACTAAAGTTCCTTACAGATGATGACTATCAAGACTATAGAGAGGTCATTATTAAAAATTCTTGATTACAAATTTGGTGAAGCCAGTTGAAACATAAATTTCAATTAAAAAGTTGTAATCACATTTATAGATTCAAAAATGTTAGTAGAAAAGATTTAAATATTTTATTTGAAAGTTTTGTACAAGTAAAATTATTTAGTTTCTTCCCTAATACTTCGTGTTTTATTTTACTTATTGTAATTATATAACCTAAATAAAATGTAATGAGTTTTTTAAAAAATCCACTATCAGTGTAGACACCTCAGACCCCCACACTCCAGGGTATCCTTATAAGCTACTTAAATACTATGATGTTAGTGTTATAATATTAAAAATGTTGGAAGCTATGTTTAAAGAAAAATTGGACTTTCTTCTAAAGGCAATAAAGAATCATTGAACTTTATAAAACCCAAAGGGCATTAGGGATTTGCCTATAGTTCTGCTCAACACACTGTATCTTGGTGACTTTGAGGTTTCCTTCCAGGAAGTATTTTATAGATGTTTCATACTTTAAAAAGTCTTTGTGTATAATAACCTCACTATAATGAACAAGAGGAGCTTCCCAGGTGGCTCAGTGGTAAAGAATCTACCTGCCAATGCAGGAGATGCAGGTTTTATTCCTGGGCCCAGAAGATCCCCTAGAGAAGGAAATGGCAACCCACTCCAGTATTCTTGCCTCGAAAATCCCATGGACAAGCAGCCTGGAAGGCTTCAGTATATGGGGCGACAAAGGGTCAGACACGACTGAGCATGTGTGCACAATGAACAAGAGGAAGGAAGACTAGATACATGGAGATATTCGGAAGGTTGTTGTAATAACCCAGATGAGACACGATGTAGTCTAAACCAGGGTAGTGATGGTGGTAATGGAGAATGGTAAAAAGTGTTGGGAGATGTTTGTTAGTTAGAATCACTAGGATTTTTTTAATTGATTTTATGTGAGGAATTATGAACAAGGAGAGAGGAATCAAGATTTCTGTTGAGTAACATAAATCAGCAACAGTCTCTATGAAGAGCTCCATATTACCTGCCTGTGGGATAGAATGATATTGATACCAGTCCTTACCTGCTTCATTCTCAGAGCCAGGTGGTGACCCCCAGGTACTGTTCTGAAACAAAACCAAAAGAAGATTATCAACTCTTTAACATTTTCTCCACCAACCTAAAAAGAATAAAATGGTTTTTACTTCTTCACAAATCCCCATGGAATCTTCCCAGATAGTGTAAAGGGATGATCCTATAGGACTATCAGATCTGTGTGCTAAGTCACTTCAGTTGTGTCTGATTCTTTGCAACCCTATGGACTGTAGCCCACCAGGTTCCTCTGTCCATGGGATTATCCAGGCAAGAATAGTAGAGTGGGTTGCCATGCCCTTCTCCAGGGCATCTTCCCAACCCATAGATTGAACCTGCGTCTCTTAAGTCTTATGCATTGACAGGGGGTTCTTTACCACTAGCACCACATGGGAGGCCGTATCAGATCTAAATTAGGCAAATGTTTCCTGATCTAACCTTTATTTTAGTTCAATGAGAGCTTCAGCTTAGTTCAGGCACTTAGTGGTGTCCGACTCTTTGCGACCCCATGGACTGCAGCATGCCAGGCTTCCCTGTCCATCACCAACTCCCGGAGCTTGCTCAAACTCATGTCCATTGAGTCAGTGATGCCATCCAACCATCTCATCCTCTGTCATCCCCTTTTCCTCCTGCCTTCAATCTTTCTCAGCATCAGGGTCTTTTCCAATGAGTCAGTTCTTCTCATCAGGTAGTCAAAGTATTGGAGCTTCAACTTCAGCATCAGTCTTTCCAATGAATATTGAGAACTGATTTCCTTTACAATTGACTGGTAGTGATAGCCTACCCCTTAATTATTCCCAAATACTTTCATTTCAATTTACATTTCTACCTTTTCTTTGTATTCAGTTAAGGAACTAGAGGGATCCATTGTGCCCTTGGGGATGCCTTCTTAAGGAAAGGCAAAGATATTAGGTAGGAAGTAAAGAAGTTAATTAGAACACATTCAAAATGGAGGGACATTGGAAGCATTTGTTCCATCCACTTAATTTATAGGCAGGAAAATTGTGGTTCAGAAGTGAGGTACAATTTACTGAGGCCAGAGAAAAATATAAAGCAGAAAGTGAAAGAAGTTTACTAGAAATAATCTTAATAACTACAACATTTTACTAAAGTTAAGACATAATCAGTTATGAAGTATGAAAAAAAAACTACCAATTAAACTATAACAGACTGCTAATACACTATCTTTGTAAGATATACAGTAAATTCTAATTTGTTAGTATTAAAAATAAATACGTGTCTTCAAATTGATGGTCCTGAAAGCCAAGCTGACAATAAAAAATTTCTACAGTAGACAGTGGCATGTCTACCCCTTTTTTAAAAGTTAAGAATCTTAAGCACTAAGACACACAATTAAAAATTGTATACAGCTTAATCCTTTAAAAATTCTTATTTTTTTTTATTATAGAAAAATTGGCTTAGAAGTCTAAGTCAGGTTCAATCAGTATTTGGGTTGCACAAAATTATAATGATGATTAAATAATTTTTCACATGCAAAGACACTAAATTCTGCCATATTTTGGAAAGGGTCACAAACCACAGAAGTTCTGCATTCTGCTTTATTTCAAACCTTACAGTATCAGTTAGGAAACATCTAAGTAACTCTGGAAACACTTGGATGGTTCAAAATGCACACTTGTTTTTATTTTGTAAGTATCCTTTTACACGAGTCATTAGATGAATTTCTTGTTCTAAATAAATGTGTCAAATTATTGTCATAAAATTTTAAGCCAAAAATGGGAAATGAAAGTACATGCTCTAAATTAGAGGAAAGAGGAATTAATAAGATGTTCAGTTCAGTCGCTCAGTCGTTTCCGGCTCTTTGCAACCCGGTGAACCGCAGCACGCCAGGCCTCCCTGTCCAACACCAACTCCCGGAGTCCTCCCAAACCTGTGTCCATTGAGTCGGTGATGCCAGCCAACAATCTCATCCTCTGTCGTCCCCATCTCCTACTGCCCTCAGTCTTTCCCAGCATCAGGGTCTTTTCAAATGAGTCAGCTCTTCGCATCAGGTGGCCAAAGTATTGGAGTTTCAGCTTCAAGAACAGTCCTTCCAATGAACACCCAGGACTGATCTCCTTTAGGATGGACGGGTTGGATCTCCTTGCAGTCCAAGGGACTCTCAAGAGTCTTCTCCAACATCACAGTTCAAAAGCATCAATCAGGAGTGTTGGCTGGGATGGAGCAGGAGCAGAGCAGCCAAGAGGAGCTACTCCATGTCCAAGGTAAGGAGCAGCAGCTGCGCTTTGCTGGAGCAGCCATGAAGAGATACCCCACGTCGAAGGTAAGAGAAACCCAAGTAAGACGGTAGGTGATGAGACAGGGCATCAGAGGGCAGACAGACTGAAACCACAATCACAGACAACTAGCCAATCTGATCACAGGACCACAGCCTTGTCTAACTCAATAAGAAGGCGTGGGGTGTTGTAAAATGTATACATAAACATGCAAATGTTATCCAGCTTTCTTAAGTCAGAATTTTTCTTTTGTGGTAAGATTCTTACATGATTTGTATGAAATATTTCAGGGGTGTAGTTATAAATGTAACATTAAAGCACACTTCCCTGCAATGTGGTATGACTTCCTCCTAAGAAGAGAAGCATAATAACACAGCATAGGTTTTGCTTCAAGTAGCCTGATCATGTGAAATCTTCCAACAGATTAATTTTGGTTGGGCAAAGCATATTTTAGATTTGTCATCAGAGATATTTGTCTGCTCACTACACTTGTATTTAGGTGGCCTTTGAGTTTCAATACTGGTAAGCATTCTTCTTGAGCTCCTCTGGTGCCTCAGCAGTAAAGAATCTTCCTGCAATGCAGGAGAAGGCAGATGCGTGGCTTTGATCCTTGAGTCTGGAAGATCCCATGGAGGAGGGCATGGTAACACACTCCAGTATTCTTGCCTGGAGAAAGCCAGAGAAACCTGTCAAGCTACAGTTCATAGGATAGCAAAGAGTGGGACATGACTGAAATGACTGAGCATGCACATACCACAACCATTCTTATATTTCAGAATTTAAGAGCTTTTGGAAATAACAACCTCATTACATTCTTAAGAGTAACATGTTAGACTAACAATTAGAAAATTATATAGATTTTTTTTCCTTTTAAATTTGTGTTGAACTTACGTAAGTTTAAAGAAAACAAAAACAACACAAAACCAAACAAACAAAAACACCCTGAGTTCACTCATTTCTCTCTTCCCTCACTCCTTGCTTCTTGCAATCAATCATTTGTTCTCTTTATCTATTAGCTTGACTTTTTAATTTTTGGTTTGTTCCTAGATCCCACATATAAGAGAGATAATACAGTATTTGTCTTTCTCTTTCTGACTTATTATTTCATTTAGCATAATGCTCTCAAAGTTCACCCATGTTGCTACAAATGGAAAGATTTTCTTCTTTTTTTGTGGCTGAATAAGATTCCATTGTAAAGAAGTGTTCCATGATTTCTTCATCCATTTATCTATCATTGGAAACTTAGGTTGTTTCCATATCTTGCCTATTGTAAATAATGCTGCAATGAACATGGGAATGTATGTGCTTAGTCGTTTAATCCTGTTCGACTCTTTGCAATTCCATGGACTGTAGCCTGCAAGGTTCCTCTGTCCATGGGATTTCCCAGGCAAGAATACTGGAGTGGGTTGCCATGCCCTCCTCCAGGGGATCTTCCCAAACCAGGGAGCGAACCCAGGTCTCCCACAATGAAGGCAGATTCTTTACCATTGGAGCCATCAAGGAAGCGTAAGAACAGTGGAGTGGGGAGCCTATCTGTTCTCCAGGGGAGCTTCCCAAGTCAGGAGTCAAACCACTGTCTCCTACATTGCAGGTGGATTCTTTACTAGCTGAGCTCTCAGGGAAGCCCAAGGGGATGTATGCACCTTTTCAAATTAGTATTTTCATTTTCTTTGGGTAAATACCCAGAAGTAGAATTGCTGGATTTACATGACAGTTCTATTCTTAATTCTTTGAAGAACTACCATATTGTTTTACATATCTTCTTTTCAAAAATTGTCATCAAATATTTTCTTTCTTCCACCCTTCAGAAGTCATCTTAAATGAGAAATTTTTACAATTGGAAAGTAACTGAAGCCTCAGAAAAGCATTTAGGAATAATGTTATGCCTACATATTATAATTTATCTTTCTCTACTCCTCAAGCTTTCTTTTTATGGACATGTATTTCATTTTTAAAAAATCTTATAATCATTTTTTTAACCTAAGTAATTTACCATGCAATCATTATCTCTAGCCACCAGTAACTCTGTTAAAATTATATAAAATTAATTACTTTTATAACTAATTTCAACTAGAATTTTAAACACTAATGCATCATGTACCATATGAAGGGCACATGCATGTTTGCATGTTTATATGTGTGTGTGCACAAGAGTGTGTGTGCATATGTGTGCAAAGAATTTCAATAACCTCTTATGCCAATACTTCTATAATGCAATTGAAAATATGACAATCTCTTACTGTAAAACAAGTGCTAAAAGTAACAGTTTATTTGGTCGATTCCTAATGTACTAATTTTGGGTCAATTTCTAATTTTTTCTTTTCAGCCAGGGTTGACATAGTTTCTTTTAGATATTTAAAATTTATAGTTTTGTTTATGTAATCTATTAGCTAAAGTAAAAAGACTAGGGAAACTCTGCAGAAAATTCAGTTAAATAACTGCTTGAAAATGATTTGGGGTTCTCTTTCCCAAGGTCAAAGAAGAGGTAAAGTTTCAGCTGTTGCTTTCCTAAGGACTGGGGTGAGATTCAGGGATGGGATGCCTTCTGACATACCTCACCGGAGGTCATTCTGGGAACTTCCAAATTATTCATAAGTATAATTAAGCTCTAAATTGCAGACAGAATAAGACAAGTAAGAAAGATCAAAGTAAAGAGGTTGTGGAATTCTGGAGTACCAGTGGGTAGGAAGGTGTGCCATGGGAGGGAGAGATGAGCACCCTAAAGAAGCTCCTTCTAGCAAGTTAAAGGAGTATTTTATTGAAT